TCCTCGTTGATCATAGACTCAGTGAACGAAGGTGACTCGATGATTTCTATCACACCGAGTATATCCTTCTGGGCACTACCCTCATCCCGGGAAGCCTCGACCACAGCCTCCACATTGGCCCCGACCATTATGTGCACACTGGCCCCGATCATGACCTCCTTGTCGGCCTCTCTAGCTTGAGGCAGACCGGCCTCGCCTCTCTCTGGTTTGGGGGATCATTGTCCCTCGAACTGCAACCGCACATGGGCCACCAGTTCAGAGGCTTCTTCTTCTTCTTCTTCTTCAGATTCGTCCTTCAGCCAATGGAGAGAGTCCGATGATGGTACTTGAGAACTGGTGCTTTCTTTATATTTGCGCACCAGGCCTCCTCTTTGCTTTTTTCTTCTCCGAGTTCGGAGAAGGAGCCTTTTTTCTCTTCTTCTCCTCACCCTGTCTCGGAGCATGGGACTCGGCGAGGCAATCCTCATTGCAGAATGGAGGCCTCATTGCGATATCCTTGGAAAGACCTACAAAGGGAAACGAGATGAGTAAGAACTCAGTAACATAAAAGAAAACCAAGTGTTATTAACTCAGGAAAGGAATCTCACCGTGAGAACTGGCCTCCCACCTGCCTTTTGAAAGTTTGCACCATGCGAGCTCAGAATATGGTTTTTGAGAGACAATGCCCTCGACTCAGGTTTTTGAGAGACAATGCCCTCGACCCACTCCTTGAGTCGAGGGACTACGTTCGGGACCCGAGCAACAGCTACATCGCCACCAAAAACCAATAAGAAAGAAAGAAAAGAGAGTAAAAATAAAATTTTGGAAAACGAAACTTTACTTACGTTTTTGGTCCCCTTCTCGGGGAATGGCATGTACTCGACTAGGATCAGGTCCGAGGTCATCACTCGGACAAAACGACCCAACCAACCTCGATCCCGATCTTCATCGATGCTCGAGAATGGGGCTTTACTAACCCAACGTGCAAGTTTAATCAGTACCCCCTCCCCTCCCCCCCACTAAAGAGTCGGGGATTGTATAGGCGCATAAGGTGGTCGACGGTGAACGAGCATCCATTGATTTTTCTCACGAAGAACTGGAAGAGGATCACAATCCTCTAGAATGTATGGTGAATTTGGCCGAGGTATACCTCGTATCTTTTGCAGAACTGGATGATAACCGGGTCCAATGGGCCTAGTGTAAAGGGATATGTGTAAACACTTAAATATCCCTCGACGTGGGTGGTGATATCTTCATCGGGTACGGGAACCACCACGTGCTTATCAACCCAGTTGTAGTCCTTTTTGGCCGTAGGGAGAATTTCTTCAGTGATCGAGCAGTTGTACCTCGATACCTTCTCACCGGCCCGGTACGGATAGAGGTTTCTCAATCTTGAAATCGGCAGCAACCGAGCACCCACCAGGTATGAATGTGCTCAAGGGGGTTCCGCTACTGGTTCCTCAACAGCAGTACACAGAACAATCTCCTCGACAGTCGACCGTGATATAGAAGTAACTTCTTTTTGGGGAATTATTTTTGAAGTTTTTGCCATTTCTTTTAAAATGGAGAGGAAGAGATGAAAAAGAGGAAGTTAAAGGGATACACTTGATATGGAATGAAGACAGGCAAAAGTTCTTACAAAGATCTCCATAAATCAGAAAACAAGTGCTAGAAAATGTAGAGATTTCTAAGGATCAAGAGTAGAGAAGGTTTGGATGTAAAGTTTGAATGAATGAAAAAGGGGTATTTATAGTTTCCAAACGACGATCCAAATCCAGGACTGGCCTACCAGCAACTGACAAGCATTTAATGCCATTAAGACATGACTGGCGAGACGTTTCGTACATTTTGTCGTTTCTAACGCGGAGTATCGAGGTGAGAATCAGAAGCTCATATCGTTTCTCGTCATTTACTCTCTGAAAAATGAGGGGACTATCTATATACGGTCAAAATCGGGCTCATCCACTACATGACAGATCGGGCTCGGAGCGTAAGGAATTGAAATCGACCCCGAGTCCCATCAAACCAGAACACGAGTTTAAAATGTCCGTCCTCGAGAACATCGAGTCCAGGATCCCTGATTCGACCCTGACCCTGAATGAGCTCAAGAAAACATTGCCAGTATAACCAACAGAAGATTGAAATAACAGAAGGCTGAAGTATCCGGGATCAGCCGAATATTACAGCGGGAATCTCGACACGTATCGATAAGGAACCGGCAAATCAACAAATCAGGAGATCTTTTACCTTTTATAGAGTTGTACCTAATATATGACTTCTCTACTATATAAAGGGAGTCTGATTACTTGTAAAGGACATTGTAACACGCATCCCAAAGCAGTATAATATTATTTTTTTGTAAGCTACTATTCTTCTGTGTTTTGATATTGTTTGAATTGCATCCAGTTCAAGTGAGACTTACTTTACAAGGCTATAATTGTTCAAGTTATACGGTTTGAATTTACTTTATCATCGCTCACTTTAATTGTAATTTAATTTATCGCTTTATGTCAAATTAATCCACGTATTTTTATAACCAAATTCAATTGTTATCCGATTTTTAGGATAAACATAGGTCTAGCATGAAAATATTTGTACAATCTATCAAGTATTGTAATTAGTTAAATGTAAAATCTAATGTAAGACGGATGCCTTGCAATAATTGTAGATTATGTGTGAAGGTGTAAAACAATAATTTAGGTTATAGCTAGGGGTGTCAATGGTTTGGTTCAGCCGGTTATTTTATAAAATTAGTATCATATTAATTTTTCGTTTATTCTATTATGTATAACAAAAATTATACATTTCAAAACCGTCCAATCATGTCGGTTTCTCTTCGGTATCGGTACGGTTCGATTAATTTTTGATATTTTTTTTAAATATTATGTAAAATTCACCAGTAAAAGTAGAATGCAATAACATATGTTCTTTTATAGGACGTAACAAAACTCTCTAGACATTTTACTGTTTAAAGGGTGATGAATTAAAAAAATAAAAGATGGCTAGAATATAGATCCATCAACTATTCCACAATAGCGCAAAAGAAACGAAGCAAAGGCAAAAAAAATATAAATCACACGAGTGAAAAGATATTAACCAAGCTAGGACTCAAAAATAACGTCTATAGAAGATTAAATAATCAAAAAGATAAATCTAAATTGTATGAAAGGAAACATATTCAATACATTATAGTTTGCTGCTCATAATCGCTAGAATATTTTATGTCTTACTAAGATACTTGAAATAACTTAGTTTAAGTAGAAGTAGCATAATAGGTTTTAGGAATTAGTATTTTGAGTTTAATTATTTGTTGGCTTGTAACAGTTTTCATAATTCCAAGGCCCAAAGAAAATTTTAATGCATTATTATTTTTAAACTTACTTTATAAATATATTTTCTACATGTAAAATTTATTCGGTACGGTACGGTATTTTTTCGGTTTATTTTTATAAAATAAAAAACCTACCCTAATTATCAGTGCAGTTATAGATTTAAATAAAAACCTATAGTTTTTTAAAAGAAACTTAAAAATCGGTTCGGTGTGATACGATTCTGTCGGTTTAGTTGGTTTTCTAATATCCATTTACACCCCTAATTACAACTATGCTTTAGTTTCAAATAAGTTAGGGTCAAGGGTCAGCTATATGAATCACCACTTATCCATTTAAATTCAATTCATGTAATTATAATACTGTTAGAGGAGTATGATTTATCAAAATATCTCCATCGGCAGGCTAAGGAATAAGAGATAAGAATGCCGGGATAGGATGCAAGATTATTTTATCACGCACATACCCTTAACCAAATGACTGTAGGTCTGCTAAGGAGATTTAATTTTCACATAATATAATATCCAGCATTATTAGAATAATGTTTGGTTATTACTTTTTGTATCATCATAAATAATGTATGCATAAGTTATGTGGTGATTCATGCATTATTTTATGTGAAAAAGAATGTGAGATAAAATGCAAGTATTAGTATTTAGTAATACATTGATTAAAACAAAACAAACTCTTGTAGTAGCAAACTTTTATATTCTTTAAAAAAGTAAACACATTGTAGTTGTAAATTGTATGGTAATTTTAATACATCAAACAAGCATCCAAGGAGAAATAATACCTTGTTGTAATCTCTGTATTACAATTATGCATTATTAAATCATCCGCATGCAGGGGTTTGATTTAGTAGTAATGCCATAACATATGAGTGGTGGATAAATTTTAAATAGAGAAGGACAAAATGATGGATCCACATCCACTATTCAATTGCATTTTGAACTAACCTTGGTAAATATATTAATTATTAAACAAGATTCTTTAACTTATGTGGAAAGGAAACCAAATGACCCATAAACTGTACGTTCTCACTGTAGAAGCATTGCTTGGTTTTAAAGTATAAATCCCATTCAGTATGTATGTTTCTGGTGATATCATGTCGCCAAATGGTACTAACAGATCTAGTAACAGTATATCGTTATGATGGATAATTGCTTCTCGTGACAGCTATAATAAGGGGCAACTGCCATCCATTAAACCAGATCGAGGTACAATTATATATGGAGCTACAGTTAATTTTCCTTCTTAGAGGATACATCTAGCGTGGGTAAAGAATGACAACAACAACCAAAAGAATAAATGGCTACTCAAACAATTCATTGAAATTAAACCCACGTTAAAGACATTTAGTTTTCACGTAAAATTCAGCAAGTGATATATAAATAATTTATATATCAAACTATTTCTGAGTACAGTCCGTTGTCAAAAAATAGCTAAATAATAAATAATTTTATTTATTTAATTTCTAACGAATATTTTCTAACGTTGGAAAAAGTAGCAGTAAATTCTTTTCCTGAATTGGCTCAGTACTCTTCCGACGGACGCTAACCCCTAGTAAGATAGTAGTATTTGCTACTTATTACTAACAAAAGGTGGTCAGAAATTGTTGTTGTTGTTCTAACAGAATTTCATCCTTCATAAAATACTCTTCCGGCGGACTTTAATTTGATGGCTAACCGCTACTAAGACATAGCATTTGCTATTTATTTATTACCAACAGAAGAAGCAAATGCTGTTGTTGGTGTTCCATCATAGCATCATCCTTTTGAAGAATTACAGCTATAACTTGTAATTATTGTTTAAACTCCTCTGTCCCTATTTCTCTGTGTATTTGCACCTCAAAGTCCTCATGCTAATAAGTCTACAGCAGGGCTAAGGAGCTGCTCTAACAAAGAATTATTCCTCCTCAATTTTTTTAGACTATTTGAACAAAATAAATCATTGAAGTAATAAGTAATTCTAGATTCTTCAGAGGAAAAAGCAACTGCCCCGAAAATTGAACAGAAACCGAAAGACTTTTCTTTCTTAGTGTTTGGTTTTAAAATAGTGCTTTTTTAAAAAAAAGTCACCATATGCAGGCAGAAATCATACTGTGCTTTCCTTCAGCTCATTTTTCTTTTGATAAGCCCTTTGAAGAAGTCAAAACTGCATCCAATGAATAAAACAATGTTAATTACCACTAATGGTCCACGCATACATGCTAAGTTTTATCAGAAAACTAACAGCTCGTGACTGCCAAATATAACCTAGACAAATTAGAACCAAACACAGCAGCCAATGATAGTTCCTTATCAGAAGCCATGAACTCCCAGTAAAACCATTTGCTTCAGAAATAAATGTAATGGAAGAACAGCTCATCCTTTTTCCCATTTGCTCACCTGCAAATTTAAATATCCTAAAACAAAANCCAGATCTATTCAAACCCATTAAACGGTTAAATCGTTAAAAAAACAAACAAATGAGGCCTTAAAAGAAGCACTAGCAAATCAGGTTGATATCCACCCAATAATTAAGTATTGGCAAAGGAACACTAAAATTGGTCCATATCAACATTTTTTTCTTTGTCCACAGTCGGTTGAGAAATTTTCTGCAAAACGAGTTGAAAAGATATGATAGACAAACGTTAACATGTTTAGCTCAAGACAAACCTGTTGCCATCTGGGTGTAGCTCACACATTTGACCATCATCTGTGATTCCTAATAAGTACCCTGAGGATGTCAAACCCTGAAAGTAGAATGATCTGTTTATGTAATAATTACACGGACAAAGCAGTTTACTAGAGCAAGGACACCTAAGATAAAGTATGAAAATATGTGGTCACCAATCAAAACTTCAAAGTGTGCACACTTCATATAATTGACGAGGGTGCATGCTTCGGCTGAGTGACAATACGAAGAATAATGATCAACATTATCACAAGCATAAAGTAAAGAGTGATGCACATCCCATTATGGAAGGGAAGTATAAGAATCAACGATTTAATAGTAAACATAGAGCTCTACAGGTTTCCTACCCTCTTCACAAGAATAAGTGGCAGCTATTCATAACCTCTCTTGTATGAGATGCTTTATATCTATTCAGAAATCTTTCATCCAAATTCATCTTGGCTAACAGTACAGTTTCTTATACTTCTCTCTAACCTAGGACGTTGAATCCAGTTTAACCCATGAATAATGTATCGGGTAACAAAATCAAATTGAGAACTAAAGGGGAAAATATATTAGATAACTTGTAAATTGCACAACTCCTTAAATTTTCCTAAGCATACACTCTTTCTTAGTGTCTTAGGAGCAAAGTCCACATTTAAACTCCCAACATGAAGCCCCCCTAAAAAAAAAAAGAAACTTTTAGTGCTATTCAGCAATAAACACAGACAATTGGAGACATATCAGGATTTAGTAAAATCATTAGAAATAAGAAAAACATGAATATTTAATTTCTATAGGACCCCTTCACACCCAAAACCTTCTCTTTCCCCTTAGCATAAAAGCATGCCATTGTGGAAAAGCAACTTGCTAGCACCCTCGCCGAACCCCTCCTCACGCCGTTCCACACTCCATTCTCACCGGCATTCCCCAAAGTCTCCCAAAAACTTTGACGTATCAATAAAGAAGCTTATTTTATTTCCTTTTTTGGTAATAGTATCGTATCACTGAAAGAAGAAATAAAAAGTTGACTAAAGACATATGGGAGTTTCTAGGTAGCTTATACATATACTAAACTCACCCTTTAGGTGAAACTGTCGAATATTATCACATCAACTTTAAATGCCTGAATGTTCATGAAGCTGCTTGATTAAATTGACTTTCCAACTGAATTACTAACTTGATTCAAAAGGTATAGTTCAGTTTCCTTTTTAATCATTTTTAGAAGGCAGGTGAAGAAGGGAACAGGACAAACATTCAAGCAACAGGAAAGGAACCCAGCAAAGTCACAGTTACAAGAAGGCTTGATTGTCCCATAACCTCCTTCAAGTGTTTTGCTAGAACCAATTCAAAGGGGCTATTAGCTGCACTTAGGCGCTTTTATGGCAAATTTCCTTTCTAATTACTCCCTCCATGTCTATTCATGTAGAACCGTTTGATTGGTCACGGAGTTTAAGAAAGAAAGAAATACTTTTGAAACTTGTGGTCATAAACAATTAAACATACCATGACATCTCTGTGGTTATAAAAGCATGTCATTAAGGGTAAATTTGAAAATTGAAAGTCTAAAGTTAAATCATTTTCACATATAGAAAGCTGCCATTCTTTTTTGGAACAAACTAAAAAGAATGAGGATCGAACTGCTCGTTTGAAAAATGAGGGGGCGATAATGCACTTTAGCGCAACTAAAATAATATAATATAATAAAAATGTTAATATAAAGTTAGAGAAAAAAGGAAAAATTCTAATGGTTGCGGCTGAACCACAAAAGGTTCCAAGATGAAATTCAATCTTAGTTTGGATTAAAAGCACTAGGCATATCTGCTTATTGTACCAGCTTCAGATTCATTGCAAGGACAGCTCATTCCCTCTGAACATGTTCAACTTTATGCAATTAACTTTTTCAGATCTCAGATTTATAATTATTGAGCTTTATAATGAATAAACATTATTTTCACACATTTCCTTGACGTTTAATTGGTTGGTACAATTTTGCAAAAGAAGTTTGTCTTCACATGTGTTTCTCAGCATCCTAATTGTAAGCTTATTAAAATAATGGAACTAGTAAAGAGAACCTTACGATGGTTTTAGTTGTTACCTTAAAGCGAGTCTAGCTTTTAAAGAAAATTAAGGACTTATCAAATGCATTAATAAAGACGAGAATCCTATGCGATCATGAATTAGTCACAAATTTAAGTTTTAGTCACTATATTTATAACAATAAAACCTACATAACAGATCTTGTAAGTTTACAAGAAAATCGTCGATAATTGTTTTTGACAAGCTTTCATACAATCCTTGAGTCATACAGCTTCAGCAAATCTCGTTTGTCGCTTTTTGTTAATTTAGTTAGGAAGAATTTAGCATACACCAATTGAATTAGACCAAAGGTCCTTTTCTCTGGGCAGACCGCTGATCTTTCGTTCATTTTATCCATTGAACTAAGAAAAGATGATTAATGTGTATATTCATTTATTCAAGTTTTGAACAATTTTACGAAACTCATTGCGTTAACCGTTGTTAGGAATCCTTTACCAGTTTCAAGTGCTTAAGTGGCCATTTCAGTCTTCCATTCAGATAATCCTAAGAGAAAGATTGAATGGAAGCCATTGACATAAGGCCTAGGCTAAAACACCCAAAAGCTCCGCCAAAAACCACCACATGTAACTGCACAGTACTATCAGGTGGATTCCCCTTTCCATGCACCTTAATATGTTATCTGCAAAGCACACTAGAAGATATACCTGTTGGAGTTTAAATGACATATATCGCTGTGAAGAAGCAGCCGTACTAGAATTGAACTCAGATTCAAATAGTTACCATATTCTTAAAAAATAAAAAGAAATAGACAAGGCATAATACTGAAAATTGAATGGTGCCCAATAAAAGTTTTTATCTTAGGAAAAGTAACTGAGAGATTCCACTCAAACCAACCTGAATGGTGACTACAGTTTCAACAAATTGGTCCTGATCACCACTTCTCTCCTGCACAATAACCCTTTGTCCACTATATTTATGTGGGCGAGCAGAAGAATATCAGTTAATAACTGACGAGATATTATCTTGTTACACTTGAATTCAGTAAAAAAATGAAGTAGAATTCACATTAACTTAACAGGTGTAAGGGTTGGCCAGATTTTAAAATAAAGAAGCATTCTAAAGGAAGACGAAGCTAAATTAACAAAATGAACCATGTGGGTATCCAAAAAAGTTTACATGTTTTGTCCACCAAAGTTGGTTTCATGATCACACAAGTAAAGTGTTCTACATCTGAATAAGGAAGAAACGACACAGACATTTCAAGTGTAGGTGTGTAGCATGTAATCAAACACAAACAGGGTACCTTTGGGCTTGGTCAGTGGTAAACTTTCCTACTCTTAATTTCTGCTAATGAATCAGTATACTGGTATAGGATATGAGCTCCATTCAATTTCCTCTATACCTTTTTCTTTGGATATGTGAACTTCATTTTAATCTATACTATATTAAAAGTGGGAAGCCCTTGAGACAAAAGTTAAATTACCAACGTATCCTTTAATTAACCTATAAATAGTTTTTTTTAATATAAATAAAAAAACTAAAGCCTACAAGGAAACGCAACTTTCCATCAGGCGCCTATTCAGAAGAAACCTGTTTCTAAGTTTTAACACTTTGAATTCTTCACATCAATAGTCACAACTCTTAAAAGAAAACCTTTTTTTGTTGTTGCTAAAAACTTTTAAAACAAAACCTAACACCTACAAACAACTCCTAAATAATTAATTAAAAATGTGCACTATGGATATATGTAGTTACTCGAATTTACAAAGGGATGAGTCTCTCCATTCAAGTCAACCATCATTCATATGGAGTACTAGACAATGCTTAGAGTAACTTACTTAATGTGCAAGATTTTGTTTACAATGAACTCACATCAGATTTAAACCTTGCTTGAATGTTGGTCTAATGTAACACCCCGTACATTCAGACTAGGTGTGGATATGTTAAATGGGTATTAATCTGATATTTTAGGTAAAAATTGCACGGGGCGCCCTATTTGGTCGCCCCCATTTAACTTATACCCATTTTTTTTAAAAACTTTTAACTTGTACCCACTTTTTAAACAACTTCAGCCCCCTTTCTCCTCTTCTCCTCCTCAAAGTTATATCCGCCCTCAACCTCTTGAGATTAAACTTCTACTTCATTTTCCTCCAGGCAAACAATCATCGGCAGGAGAACAATATCATAAATCTCTACGTTCTGCTTCACAGATATGTAGGGTAAACATATATTTCCATGTTGATAACTTCTTGAGGGCATATTAATACCTATATATGAGTAATTTTTTTTATATTTCTGTTCGTGCTACCAGTATTTTATCAGGAACTATACCTTTCCACCGAGACTACATTACTTCAGGTGATACAGAAAAGAGACCTTACAAAAAGGTATTAAGCAGTGTCTCTAATATCTAATTTATGAAAGTTGCATGTTCATATTTTCAGCCTCATGGATGTTGAATTAATCATTAGTGGGATATGATTTCAGAAATTACTGGATGTCGTTCGTGAGCTGGAGTCCTTAAGGCCAAAAGTTGAAAAGGAAATTACCAAAGTGAACAAAGAACTTCTAGAGCTGAAGTTCTCCAGTTACAAAATAAAAATTCGCCAGTTACAAAACAAAAACTTCGCCAATTACAAAAACAAAACTTCAGCTAATTCGCCAGTTACAAAACAAAAACTTTGCGTGATTGTCTTTGCTACTTCAGCCCCGTATGCTGAAGTTACGCGAAAAAGTGGGTATGCTTGCAATTTTTTTTTGCAAAGCGGGCACAAGTTAAAACGTGACCCAAAAAGCGGGTATAGATGCAAATGCCCATATTTTAGACATATGAAGTCCTAGCGGGATGAGTATGAGTGAAAATAGTTGTTTTAGAATCAAGATGAAGAATGAGGTGCATAAGATTCGATAAAATATACAAAGTTTCCAAAAGGTCAGTTTTGCATGTGATTGTTCATAAAAACTATATTTTATTAGTTATGTATATTTATTTATTCAAATCTTTGTTTTTATAATATTGCTATTATTACAAAAATTATATAATATATGACTTGACATACACGTGCAATGCACGTGCCGAGAGACTAGTATTAAAAGAAGGATAACACTATTACCAGAAGAAAGAAAAGAGAGGAAAAATAAGAGAGATGACGGCCAGTTGAGGGGACAGGATAGAAAATACCATATGACCATTTTAAGAATATGTAGATAGAACTAGAATATCTGGAGATCTCCCAAGTATCGCGATCCATCTTTATCTTCAGCTTATTTTGATGTCAATTCTTTCTTACAAAGTTACAATATGAGGATTTCTTATTCCCCCATTTCTCTTAACCAATTCCTAGTAGAGCTTTGATCATTTTGACTGTTGAGGCTACAACTTTAGCTCCACAGAACAGGATTCTTTCTTCATAGTTACAATTTTTCGGAGGATGATTAGATGAACATTCACCTCATAGGCCCACAAGCTTTTGGTCCATCTTATTCAGGATGAAGCTACTGTCATTTTCTGTCATCTGATGGACGAGAAAGGTTGCCTTTGTTGGACCTAGTATTCCATGTGTATCCAGCTTCGTCATGGCTATCCTTCAGGTATGAATCTACCCTAACCTCCCCCATCACCAAAGAACCCTGTTACCTAGGATCGGCCATTTATCCAGTACATGTACATTGAATTTAGCACATATTTAGCGTGTTTTGAAATGCAAGTGAACTACCCAGCCCAAAGTCCATTTAACATTGTTTAAGAGTCTCTTTTATAGTCAGAAGAATCGCACAAACTGTAATTGTTATATCACAAAACTTTAGGTTGCTCATCTAGGAATATTCTTTGTCCTACTATCCAACAATGCTAAAAGAATTTTGACTTTCTCCTATTTTCCCATCAAAAGCACATTCCAGTACAAGAAGATGCCCACATGTAATAGAAGTAAGCAAAGGATCAACTTTACGGGATTCCCATAGCATAAAGTTCTCTGCTTTGTAAAGAGTTTCAAATTGCAATAGCAGAGGATAACAGATGTTCGAATCTACAGTAACTTTAAAAAGTACTTACCTGTGTAACCAAGTCCTATAATACAATCCTTCAAGAGCTTGAAATCCTGCATGCACACAGCAAAATGCATCACTATTTTCATTATTGTACCAACATATGCAGAAAGAGTGTGTGTGTGTGTTTGGGGGGGGNCACTCCATGATTTCAGGTAGCGGTTCTAAGACCATCAGAAAAAGCAAAGAATGCAGTTGATAAAAAAGCACAAGACTGAGGATATGAATTCCTAGCATCTAATACACAACGCCTCGGAATACCACCTCACAACAATTTCGAAGGATCTCAAATTTCCATGACTAACTAATACCCTTGACAGCAAGCTCAACATTAACCAACCAAATGAAAAACAAATATAGGATTATTCTCTTTAATGAACCTCCACTTCATCTGCTGAAACTAAATAACATCTCAATGGGGGAAAACGGATATGCCAAAAATAGACCTGCTAAGAAAATGGCAGAGGCAAGTGGAAAGAAAGTCTAGTATATGATAATTTTGATATTATCACTGAACTAACAGTGAGAACAGGGAGAAGAGAGGCTAGTATGGTTTGATATATATAGTTCTGTGACAAATTCTAAATAAAATTAGCAAATTAAAATCTCATCACCATCACCACAACTATGCTTAATATTATTGAAATCTTCCTACAAGAACCAGCTTATCTTTGGCACTGTGACAATATATGAACAGCTCGTAGAGACAAGGACTCCCCACATTCATATTGGAAGTTCGCTAACTTTATTTCATTTTGTAACATCAACACGGCCCACCAAGAAAGAAAGAGCAAGGGGACAAGGGAGGAGAAAGAGTTATCTTCTCACAAACAATTACTTCTTTGTTCCATTTTACGTGACACTCTCTCCTTTTTAGTTTGTTCAGAAAAGAATGATACCTTCCTACATTTAGAAGCAACTTAACTTTAAACTTACCATTTTATCCTTAATCACATGATTTTATAGCCACAAAATAGTCATGGCATGTTTAAGATCTAAGTTGCTCCGACATGGGAGTTTAGGTGCCGCACCCGTGTCGACACAACACTAGTATAAGTGTGGGTATGGGATCCGTACCGGATCTAGTCAAATAATTTTGGATACTTTGACCACGACGGACGGAAAAATTCGAGACGAGATACAATTTGATTCCCGAAATCAAAACCAAAACTAGGGTAAATTTGAAGAAAATAGCATACTTGATCTAGAAGATTAAACCTTTATTTATCTACAACTTGAGAATAAAAATGAAAATCCACACTCTACAAGCTATACGTAAGTATTTCACAATTTTTTCTATAATTTAGAGATATTTTTATTTTTTTGAACTATTTTTAGCCGGATCCTCACACCCGTATCTGTACTAGGATCCATATCCCCGAATCTTAGAATTTACATCTTGAAGGATCTGACCTCTAGATTCGCACCCCGTGTCCAAGCAACTTAGTTTAAGATCACAAGTTCCAAAGTCTTATCTTTCTTACTTAAACTCTACGCCCAATCATACACCTTCACATAAGATTAAACGAAGAGAGAATTTGACGACCCACCATATTTGGATATTACTCAATTAGATGTTAGCAAACAGCAATTTCATTTTTTAATTATTTTTTTGGATAACCGAAAACCCCCTGATGAGCTATCTGACCCAACACTAGTTTGCCCACAGGTTCGACACTCGGAGTGTTGGCCTGCCCCTCTATCCCACTTCCACTTATATACAAAGTGTGTGTCAATAGCAGGGCAGACAACAATGTCTTATTGCAACATGAAATTAAAGAACAAATGAAAATTCAAACGTAAAACACGATTATAATCTCTAAATGAGTTGATCAAAAGAGGACTGGACAGGTTAAAGGCCTGGTTGGAGATCTTTTCCCTTTATCATTGGGGTTTTAGGATTTTCGCAAATGTTGAAGATTTTCGAATGTTTAAGATAGCTCTGTTTCTGAGTTCGAGAAGTTTAGTGTTTTAGGAAGCTAGGTGAATTGCTATTTAGCCGCATTGAAGGTTCTCGTTAGTTGCAATTGTGCCACTTGACTTTGCTTGGGAAATCTAGTCCCTGAAGTTTTGTATTTCAACAATTGAAAATCAGATTGTATACAGTATGGTTGCTCGAATGAGTAGATAATGGCAATTTACCTTGTTCTGAGAAAACATCATACAGGTTCTCAAATTTATTGAAAAAGGCTGCAATAACATCTTCTCTCTTCAATTCACGTGAGAGAGGATTCACTTTCTTTAAAACAGCATTCAAGCATGTAGTAGGCTTCTCATTCCCGACATTCAATCCAACTCCTGTGAAATAAGTATCAATACCCAAGCACTCCATGTAGTTTCTCCAAATTGATAGACTGAGAGGAGATAGAAATAATTACATATATTCATCAGTCTACTTAGAATGATCCTGAGGGGTGGGGTGGGGGGGGTGTAAGAAAGTTAGCTAAGTTAAAAAGACTGCAAGTGTAAGAAAGATTGCTGACTAACCAAATTCATTAAGTTTGCAACATCTGAAAACCCGTCAAGTTTGTACTTAGCATGCAAACTTCTATAAATCGAAGGAAAAAATCCATTTCCGGTATGAGGAAGAATATATAGTGAACATCATTGAATGAGTGAAACGTTTTTTTTTTTTTGTATAAGTTGACAAGTGAGACAGTTTACCAGCACTAACATAGAACTTCTTCGACCTATATACCGATGTGCTAAGAATGCCACCCACTTTAACGCCACCTAAATACAGATCATTTGGCCACTTTATTCGAACATCAAGCTCTGGGGTTCCCTGTGGCACATTATGTAGCCAAGAACAACAAGGAAAAAAGGTAAGCATATCAACAGACGTTCTATGTAAAATAAACTAATACATGTAACGCTTAGCTTCTATGCAGCACACAGCTAGTTTCTACAAATTCTGTCCTACCACTCCTCTTTTTTCCATCTGCATCCAGTTAGCATTGTTCAAATACACTACCTATATGTGCATAAGTGAGCAATTAGGACCATTCTATTAGCCAAGTACCATAAAATTCAGGAAACACTCTCTTTTCACGAATACAGCACAAATACATGAAGAGATAAACCATTTGTCGTTTAGGCATTTGTAGACGAAAATAAAGTAATTAATAGAAAAGACTGATAGAGAATCTTGTAACTCAAGAAGAACCAACAAACTACATCAATGCTCCAGATCATAGACAGTTGAATTAGCTGAGTCTATCTGAAATTAGATTTAAGTGTATCCTACATTGACTAATTCAAAGGGCCCTGATATTTATCCAAATTTTCCTTTTACAATCATCTCTAGTCCTGAATATCTCCTAACTCAAGTAACATTCTTTAGGAAACATGATATCCTCTTTAGCAGACCAATCAGCACTAACAAATAATAGTCCACAAGACTGTATACAATTCTTCACAGACCATCCATCAATAACTGCTTAAATTTCACAGTGCACGGACTAAATGGCAAAACTATATAAAATATATGTGTAAAACTATAATGTTTCAATTGATACAACCAGATAGAGGATATAAAACTTACAAAGACATGTGAGAAAACTTCAGTTCATTGTTTATGCAATGTCGATATAAAATCACACTTATCTCCTTCTTACTTTTCCCATACATTACTTTACCGTTCCAATTTCAATTTCAGGATGTCGCCCCGGTAAACATCTTTCTAATATAAGTACTTACCTTTTCCAAACAGACAGCTTTAATGGCCTCTGTCATGGCAAGACAGACAACGTACTGTATATGTGGCACCACTCTACCGTCCTCCATTTGTATTGAAAAAGAAAACAGAAGGCAACCCTTTGGTGATTCCCACACATTACTCGAACGGCCTTCAGATGTAAAATAAACACATAAGTAAATCAAAGTAAAACATAAATAATTTGGGCAAACACGATAAGAGCAAAAAATCTCCAATACATTAAACAGAGCAACTACAATTTTTTATACCTAGTTTATGACAGTGATGCATTTTTCTTAATGTTTTTCAATTGCACAAATAACACCCTAACTTTGAAACAACGATAACGAACAGGACTTTCTCTAACTTCTGTTCATTGTTAATGGAAAAGGTCACACACAAAACTACACATATTTACGCTTTTTTAAAGGTCCAAACAGCTGTTCTCAATATTTCATAGTTTGTGGAGGGAACGAAACCTATCATTTGGTGCCAAACTCCACCTCTAATCTCCTTATACAGTGTTCAGCCTTCTTAACATAGCTATGGAAGATGCACCCAAGGTTGTGGCCAAGTGGTCAATGAAGTAGGCTGAGAATCGCAAGGTCTTAGGATTTGAACATTAGGTTATTTCTTCCCATCCGTCCAAGCCTTGGTTGGACAGAGTTATCTGGTAGCTATGCTGGTGAGATAGCACGTACCTCGCGGAATGCTCAAGGTGTGTGCAAGTTGGCTAGCACAACACGATTATAAAGAAAAACCTACCTGTGAAAGTTGATTGTTTTATATGTCATAGAGAACAGTCCAGTTCTATAATTATTTCTTATTCTTATTGTTGCACTTCAGCATGTGCTAATTAGCACTTAATTGGATTGTAACACAGACGAAAACTGTTATTTACTGGAACAAAACCGTCCCCCGTTTGAAAGTGTACAACTCAAATCAAAACAAAAAATTGGACCTTAGAAAATTAAAAATGCACAAATGCAATAATCTCCAAAGAAACAAAAAAGTCCACGTACCTCTCCCTTTCAGTTGAACATCGGCAACACACACTGTACCAAGTGGCAAGTCAGAGTTATTTCTGCCATAAACAAATAATTAAATTAACAGAAGCAAAATTTAGTGTCAATAAGCCATAAGCGAGCAGGCTTAACTTGTCATTAATGATTTTTCACAATAACAAACAAGTAACTATAAGAGTTTTAAGTTATATAGAGCATGAGTCAAAAATAACATGTCAACCATAAAAATATGTACAAGGGATTTTGTAAAACATAAGTTAAGTATGGAAATCTGGTAATTTACTGTGAAATAACGTCATGAGTAGAGGACAATCTGGGAGAGTAAATGAGGAGTCTCCCAAAACGCCTAGTCGAAAGGGAGTTGAAGTATTCTTCAATTCGAAAAGCGTCGTCGTTTTCCAATTTCACCTCGGAATGCAGAACAAGCTCAACTCCTTCACCAGTTTTAAGGGTATTGTTATTCTTGAGTACCTTTGCCGCGTCATTCTCCTCCTCGGATTTCCCAGAGAGTAAAAGAAGCGTGTCCGCGGGTGATTCCATTTTTCTTCCGAGGACGTGTGATGATGAGAAAGCTTTGAGGTTTTTGGGAAATTTTTGTAGAGAGTGGAAAAAGATACTACTACCTTTGAATTGAGAAATCATCAGACGGAGACAAGTACAAGTGTACTACAGGCATATAACAAGACTCAACTTGTTCCCAACATTCACGAGTATTGGAGTAGCTGTATTCATGTGATGTGAAATGTGTTTCCATCAAGATTAATTGATGTGGAAATCTTTTATAATAGTATCATTTTCAGTGTTCTATTGGGTATTACTAACTTTTTGTACCAATAATAAATAGAGTGTAAGCATGGACACATGAAAGTGGTATTTTTTCACAAATAATTACACCGACTAATTATAGTGTAATTACAAGTTTACTGTTTGGTTGCACAAGTGTAATTACACAGTTAAATAAAATATTTAATAAAGTAATTATTAAAACTTAAAACTTAATATAATAAATATATGCCTATAAATTTGTATAAATATAAATGATATTATATTTAATTAAGATGTATATTTTTCGTAAATATACATTAATTAGTAATCATATATTTATAAATAATATTGTAAAACTAATTTTTATATATATTGTGAGCACGCGATTTTTGCCCTACAAGAACTACACCCACAAAAATTCAAAATAAAATGGTTTTGTGTTGTTTGTGATTTATTTGTATTTTTGTCTGTGCATGTTTATTTCTACTTTAATTAAGAAAAATACAAAAATATGTGTTGCATACGCATTTAGGATTTAATTTTACAATTTAGGAATTAATCAAACAATCAAGTTTGCTTTACAAAATGAAAAGATCACAAAAAATATGTACTTTACATTTTTGGCGTTTAATATCCGAATTGTGTGATTTTATCTTTATTGGGTGTTTAATTGCATGTGATAGCTGTTATTAAGAGTTAATGTTTTAAGTTAATTGTCAATGTTACAATTCAATTATGATTTTAGTTGAAAAGGAATTAAAAGAAAATGAAAGAAAAAAAAGAGAAGAAAAAGAGTGGGCATTGGGCCGATTTCAGTGCAAAAATCACGCCCAAATCACCCATGAACCAGGTCCAGTTTGGCCTGGTCAGAGACGTCTTAAAACGACGTCGTTTGGTCACTCTTAATCAAAGTCGTTGATACGACTTGATCCAACGGTCACAGATCAATGCTCTTTACCCATTCCCTGGCCCGACCCGCTACCCGGATCGACCCCGACCCCAACACTAAACCAAACGACACCGTATTGGGTTAATCTCCTTGANCATGTCTTGTTTGTTTGTTTGTTTGTTCAAGATGAGTTCGAATTCATTTTTTTTATCAATTACTCTTTTCTTTCTCCATCAGACCTTCTTATTTGGTCCAATTTTATCATCATTTCTGTTTGTTGTCGTTTGTTGTATGCTGTAATGTGTGTAATCGATTGATAAGTGTCGTCGATTAGTCTGTTATGTTTGAATGTTAGATTAGCATGATAATAGTTTAAGTTTTGGTTCATCCCCGTAGGTTTACCTTCCTGTTTCTTCTCTGTTCTAATGTTGTGTTGAAGTAAGCCCGATGGTATCAGTTGTTTCCAAGTGTTCCAATTTCCTTTTCTCATTGTCATCCACCATGTTTTTTCGTATGAGTTCAGTTTGTTTTTGTTCAGTGTTCATCTGTTTTGTCTAGGTTAGAATTGTGTTAGTTTAATCTCTGTATCAACGCGTTGTTTGATTCAGTTTCAGTTTTAGCTTCAATGATTTTGTTGGGGTCTGTGTGGTGTTAATATGGTTTTGATTCAAGTTCAGTCTGTTGGTTCCAGTTGGAATTCAGCCTTAGTCATTTAGTTGTTAGAGATTTGGTAGGCTGGATTGATTATAGCTGTTGCAGTTTGTTGAATTCAGCTTGGCTAGTGGGTAGGACAGTAATTTTAGGGTTTTAGGGGGTAATTTAGGAATTGAAAACAGGAGGAAATGGGTAGTTTGAGTGTTCTGTCCACTAAGTATTAAAGCACCATTAAACTAAGGAATTGTTTAGTATTAGTGGAGAACAAAACATAAAAGCATGGGGGATTAATTATAAGCTGCCTATACCTTTGGGCACAAGACACATGATAATGGGCTGTAAGAGAATATCATAGGCAAAAGATGGTGGTGGTATTAGTTTAAGTGCTTTTGAGAGGGGGAAGGGTCTGTTTTGGGGGCAGATAAATAGAGGAAGGTTTGGACATAATAGGGAGGTTTTTTTTTTCAGACAGAGTTGAGGGCTGAAAATCTGAAGGGAGGAGTTTTGGACACGGATTTTTCCTTCTGAGAAAAAGATCTGTAGAGGAGAGGTTGTGCACAGTACAGTTTTTTTACACAGTCAAAGGGTTGGTTTTTGGGAGCAGAAAATCAGTTCTTTTTCAAGCTTCTGATTCTGGTCTGTCTGTTCCTTTGGATAGAGTAGAAGGCTGATTATGGTTGTGTTGGTTTGTTTGTGTTGTTGTATGGTATAGCTGGGGAATCCTTTTTAACTGTTTTTCCTGAGTTGCTGCTGGATATTTGTTACTATTGTTGTTGTGTTGTACCATCTGTTGTATTGCTACTGCTGCTGATCTCCTGCTTCTTCTCCATTGTATTCCATTTCCATACACATTCTAAAAACCTGTGTTGATGTAAGCTCGAATTTGGAGTTGAAGTTGAGATGAAATGGGAATGCAACTATTAGTTCTATTTGACATGACTGTATGAATAAACTAAAACTGTTTCTTTATTAGCTAGATAATCACTCGATACGTCTTGAATGTATGTAAGTCTGTGATCTCGAGCAGTGGTTGTATTTAGTTTTATGTTAGGTTAATAGAATAGTTAGATTAATTTTAGTTTTGGTAATTTGTTTCGTGAAGTCATTTGAAAGCAATTCACATTGCAATAAACCTTTAGTAATGGTCGTCAGTTTTTTTTTTTTGGTACTAAAATAAGACTGTTTATTTACTACATCATGGCATATTAAAATTGGCCCGCAAAGAGTGTTGTGGTTATTTTGTTCAAGTTGTTCCAAGTAGAACGACGTACTGCTTTCACTATAAAATTAGGATGCTTACCTAATGACATGCAAATGAATAAGTAAATGTTTGACCTCAGGGGCTCGATCCCTCGATCTCTCCTACGCAGCTTAGCACGCCCCATTGGGTTTTGGGCTTGCCTCAAGGCCCACCTGTTGTTGTTCGTTCACAAGTGGAATTAGTTGGCCCATTTAATTTGGGCCTGATTTAAAGGTCTCAGTATATAATTAACACAATATAAGTTTGGGGGCTTTGAGTTAGGTAGCGGGTTCAAATTTAAAGGTCCGTCCTTTGGTTTGGACTCGAACTTGAACTCGAAACCCGCTTTTATAATATTAATTAATTAGGACTTCTTCTCTTTTATTTTAGAGACGAACTTAATAGAAAGTGTAGTCACTTTAGGATTGCCCTTTTAAAATAAACGATATGAGTCTCGCTTAGTAAAATGCATAATGGCGGGGCCCTCTGTAAATATATATATATCAAATGCTTAAATTTCGGGATGGGCCATTTTAGCGAATTTCCCGTCCTCATCCAAAATGACAACGCGTTAGTCTCTTTAGGCGCGTACTTTTAATAATTTACTTTCTTAAACTCGGGTGCACATTTATGTGACCCAAATCCAAATCTCAACAAAGTCGAAATACGTCGATAATCACGGGTACATTGATTGTAACGTGATTCGAGATGCATTTCCATGACATTTGCAATTCTTTTTTAATAATGAACGAGACGAGCCTCGACGAAAGAAATACATAAGCTGTGGGACCCTCATTAAGNCGAAATACATAAGCTGCGGGGACTTCATTAAGTATTTGTAAAATTCCTTAGACTTCGGGATGGGCCGTTTAGCAAAATTTTATGGCCCTACCCAAAATAATAATACGCTAGTCGCTTTAGGCGCGCCTTTAATAATTTATTTTCTTAAACTCGGGTGCACATTTATGTGACCCAAATCCAAATCTCAACGAAATCGAAATGTGTCGATAACCACGGGTACATTGATGTGACGTGGTTCGAGATACGTTTTCACAACGTTGCAATTCTCTGTTAAAATAATAATGATAATAATAAAAGCGGTTAAAAGTTAAAATTTGCACATAGGTTCATAATTGTATAAAAATCATATAATTAAGCCGAATATGACAGTTGAGCGACCGTGCTAGAACCACGGAACTCGGGAATGCCTAACATCTTCTCCCGGGTTAACTGAATTCCTTACTTGGATTTCTGGTTCGCGGACTGTAATACAGAGTCAATCTTTTCCTCGGTTCGGGATTCAACCGGTGACTTGGGACACCATAAATCTCCTAAGTGGCGACTCTGAATTAAATAATAAATCCCGTTTTGATTGACCTTTAATTGGAAAAACTCCCTCCGCGCCCCTTTGTGGTGGCGCGGGTGAAAAAGGAGGTGTGACAGCTCTGGCGACTCTGCTGGGGAATGAACCCAAAACCTCTAGTTCAGGGTTCAGAATTCGAGCTTAGATAAATTGTTACATTCTTAGATAAAAGGCAACCTTATAATTAACAGTGTAATTACCACCAATTCTTACCTTCCCCTTAAGAATTGGAGAGTGTAATTACACCCCTCCAATTACACTCAATTTCATGCTCACCAAGTAATTACTTGGCCAAATAAATATGCCAAACTGTGTAGTTACACCCAATTACACACAAATCCAATTCCTTGGTGACTTTCCAAACAGGCTCTAAATTGTGTTTGCTTTTGGCGTAAAATTTATAATAGTATTAGACCCATGTTTTCTATTCAAATTGCATCCATGCTTCAGTTTGTTCAAATGTATGACCTAATTGCAAAGACAAAACCTAGTTTGTTACAAAATAAACAATTAAAAAAGTGAATACAAATTTTTATGACATATCCAGTATTATCCCACACTGTGGGGTCTGGAGAGGGTAATGTGTTCGCAGACCTTATCACTACCTTGTTAGGATATAAAGGTTATTTCTAATAGACCTTCGGCTTAGAAAACACCACATTAATGAAAATACAGACAAGAACGGACAATACCAAAAAATCATATAAAAGCAAAATAAAAATAACAACACAGTAAGGTGATCAACAATGAAAGAAAAGAACGGTTAGCCATAAAAACCTACTGCCCACAGAAAGCGAGACTGTGTGTCAATAGTACTGTTATGAAC